ACAAATATGATGTTGATGCAATGGTAGGTCCAACTGGAAAGAAACTCTATCCTTCCTACCTAATTCAAGGCCCTGCTACTTCCAGAGCTGCAGGAGGCTCCCACACCAATGTTTTCACTTCTGATTACATAGTACCAATGTACATTGTAAATCTTACAACACTCACTCTGTTTTAGTTGGAAGAGTTGAACGGTCAGGTTAAGGACAGATCATCATGGAGAAAATCTATCCATGGGGTTGCTAAGCGTTAACAACATAATCCATCAGTCAACCTATTTCCAGGAAAGAGCAGCCTGCATTCTCTAGGTTCCTGTTCTTCTAGTCTCTTTCCCTCTCCATAAGCATGGAAGAGCTTATAAGGTTTGTTCCTAATACATAGATATAATGACATTTAGTTCTACTTCTGAAAAGGTATGCGGTGGCTCAGTGGCTAAGACCCTGAGCTTCTTAATCAGAAAGGTCGGCAGTTCAGCGGTTCGAATCCCTACTGCCATATAATGGAGTGAGTTCCCGTTACTTGTCCCAGCTTCTGCCAACCTAGTAGTTTAAAAACATGTAAAAATGCAAGTAGAAAAATAAGAACCGCCTTTGGTGGGAAGGTAGTCATGCCAGCCACATGACCACTGAGACGTCTTCGGACAGTGCTGGCTCTTCGGCTTTGCAACGGAGAGGAGCACCACCCCCTAGAGTCAGGAACAACTAGCACACATGTGCAAGGGGAACCTTTACCTTTACCTTTAGTTCTACTTCTCTCCCCCAAAACTGGCCTCTTTTATCCACTCCGTCCCTTGTTAAATAGTTGCACCTTCCACCATGTCAACAAAGGACCCAATCATTCTAGATGTTGCTAAACATAACAAGTTCCTGCTACAAAATTCCAACCTCTGACCAGCTCATTTATTTGTTGAAGATAAAGTCCACATTTCCTTCATTTACAAAACCACTGTGCAACAAAAGGTTGAGGGATATGGAGTTGTTTAAGGCGATCCATTAACTAGATGGACAAAAGGGCCATTTCTCACTCAGTACATAGGTGGAGGGAGTTCTCCTACAATGCAATAAAGTACAGCAGCAAATTAGACAGCAAAGTAGAAGAAAAAACACCCTTGATATTAAGCATGATAAGATGGGTGGAGGCTAATTCCCCAGTGGGCTGACAGTGCGTAGAGGCCAATAACATGCCTTCCAGTCACGGAGAAACAGTAAGTTGTATTCATATTGAGGCAAACTCGTCCAGATCAATCCTGAATCTCCCATGTCCTTGGTCCTTCCATCTGCCCAGTATATGAATGAACCCAAAGTAATGTTCTTGACCCTCTGCTCTGCCCATTCTCTTTATAATAGGTCATTCTTATTCCCTTGTTTGCTGCCACATTCTTATCCTTCCCCACCTTAGAATTTAGAGTGGACATACATGGGAGCCTGTATCTCCCTTTCTAATTGTTATTGTCCAAGCATGGACAATCCTTTTCAGTCTTAGCATTTCCTTCCCAGTCTTATAGTTTGGCTTCTGGGATTTGCACGAACGAATGTATCAGTGATCCAGAGTTACAATCAAGTGAAGTTTGACACCCTTCAGTTTCTTTTGGTTAGATCTTTTGGACTGTCCACATTTTCAGAAGAAGCTACCTACTCTGACCTTTAATTTCTGTCCCAGATGCTATAAACCATGTTAATAAAAACTGGCCATTTTCCAGTTAATTTTGTCAACCCAACCTAGGGAGTCTGCAGGGCAAAGGGGGATGAATTGGAGGTTGTGGTTGTATGGTCACCCATTCCTGCTGTATACCCTGCTTCCATAACATTCTGTTTCCACTAGATACCCTCAACCCTGACAATAACATTTTTATAAAAATGGAATTGCATGTTATTATGGCCACCATGAAGCCATTTTATAATTCAATCCATGTTGCAATTAATTCCAGGACACTTTGAGTTTTTGTTATAACTTACTGTTATAACCCTTCCCATTGGACTCTTCCATCAAGCCATCATTCCAGCTAATCCTTTCTCTTCGATTTAAATCATAATCAGCTTCCCTCTCCCAATAATTTCCTAGTAAACCAACAAAGAACACGCTTTGCACAGCCTTCTACAAGAGGATGTACCATCAGCGATTGACTTAGACACAAACTAGAATAACTTTATTGTCACTTTGAATGTACGCTAATCGGCATACATTAAAATGAAATTTCATTGCCTACAGCTCTCAAAGGCTCACCACCTCCAATATACATCACATAGACTCACGTAGGACTGTAGCTATTTGTATTTGCTGGGCAGTGGTGGGATTCAAATTCTTTTACTACAAGTTCTGTGGGTGTGGTTTGGCGGGCTTGGCAGGGGAAGGATACTGTAAAATCTCTATCCCCCCCCCACTCCAGAGGAAGGTTACTGAAAAATCCCCATTCCCTCCAGATCAGCTGGGACTCAGGAGGCAGAAAATAAATGGAGGGGGGGGGCAGTCAGAGATTGTATTTACCAATTCTCCAAACTACTCAAAATTTCCACTACCGGTTCTCCAGAACTGCTCAGAAGCTGCTGAATACCACCTCTGCAGAGCCCCATTCGTGCTCGCCTGCCACTCCCACAAATGGTGTCTGTGTGTGTCTGTCTCTGTGTGTGTGTGTTTGTGTGTATGTGTGTGTTTTTGTGTGTGTGTGTGTGTGTGTGTGCACAATACCACCTCTGCTGACGGGCTTCCCTCTGTAATATAACACAGTGACAATATTTCACACCTTAACAGCCACACCCCTGTTTGATGTTTGGCAGATCCACAACTCCAGTCAATCTTGGTACGCTTGCTGGAATACATACCGCTTGGTAGGTTATTTGAGGAGTGTTCCCAAGGCAAATGCCCATGTCAAAGATGCCAATTCGGTGACCTACCTTGTTGATGCCCATATTTCCCCGCACATTCCCAGGGGTCACCGCATAAAGGACGGCTGCCCCAACAATTCCTCCAGCCAGCTGGGCCACCACGTAGCAGACAGTCCTCACCAACGAGACACGAGAGCCGAGCAGGAAGGCCACAGTCACCGCTGGATTGATGTGGGCTCCACTCACTTGCCAGGCAATCTGGACAGCTACAGCTGCTGCCAAGTTGAAAGTGATGGCAGTCTGGAGGATGGAGGGTGTCTCGGGCCAATCCAGAACGGACCCCAAGCCAAAAAAGACGTAGATGGCGGTGATCAGCAACTCGGCGAAGACAGCCCTGTAGAAAGCTATCGAAGCAAGTTCCTTACACATCCTGCAAGAAGCAAGAGGGGAATGGAGCAGATCTTCTGGTGGCTTTTCCCCTTCTGAGCAAGGGCCAAGGAGGCACTGTTTAAATGAGTGAGATTGCAACATCGGACTAGACCAGGAAGTTAAAGGGAAACGCCTGCAGTAGCCTTTCCTTCCCAGCCTATTGGCTTGGCACTGCTTCTGCTCCAGGGAAGGGCTCTATCTGGGAAGCTTTGGGCCAACCACATAAATCCAGTGAAAGAAGCTTCAGCAACAGATCCTGGGAAAGAAACAACTGGGGAGGTCAGTCATGCAGCTTCTTTCTCAAACTGCTACATCCAAAAGCTCATCTCCTACCTAAGGAAGCCCATCATCGGTCCTGGCACAGACAGCAGAAGAAGCTGGAGTGACGTACCGTGTTTCCCTGAAAATAAGACCCAGTTATTTTCTTTTGAGTCCCAAAATAAGCACCAGGTTTTATTTTTGGGGGAAGTCTCACTCGCTTACCTTAGGATCGCTGCAACCAGGACTCCCACACCCCAACACCTGTTGCGCTGCTACCTGACTTATTCTGTAGCTGCTTGCGGCCACTTGTAGTCAGATGCCACATGGCATATAACGCCGATGCCCCCACTCGCAGAACACCATGCAGCGCACCATGCTGGTTCCACCGCTCATGGCAGAACGCTGCAGGCTCCTCAAGCTGGAGCTGCTGCTCGCGGCAGAATGCTGCAAGGCTCATCGTGATGAGTTGCACAGTGCTCAGCTGCAAGCCATGGCACTGGTGTGGCAACCCTCATGGCATCCCGTCACAAGCAGCAGCACCAGCGCAATGCACCACATCTGGCCCCAAGCAGCCACAAGTAGCTGCAAAGAAGTTGGGCAGGGGCACAACAGGTGTTGGGGTGTGGGAGGCCTGACTGTGGTGGTCCTAAGGTAAGCAGGTATGGGGCACGTAGGGGAGCTCCACCTCCTCACCCCTGCCTTAGCTTGATTTTTACACCTGCACCTTGCCCCGCCTCGTATAACCAGACAATTGGCTGGGTTTAACTAGGGCTTATTTTGGGGTAGGACTTATATTAGGTACAGGTGTGGAAAATAGGGCTAGGGCTTATTTTTGAGGTAGGTCGTATTTTCAGGGAAACATGGTAGAAACTTAGTTTCTACCAGACCTTAGTGGTCCATTGAGTCTGTCCTTTGGGGTTTTCTTTTTCTTTTTAATTATTTTTTTTTAATTTTCTTTTTTAAATTTTTTGTCGAATGATGGACGTGTGTTTATCCCAAGCATGTTTAAACTCATTTATTGGTAATT